ATCTTGGGGTGGGGGGAGGGGTGAGATGGGGTGAAAATTGGGAGCTCAAAAACTTGTGGAAGTGAATATTGAAAACTAAAAATGAATAAATTTATATTAAAAAAAAGAAATGAGACATTAATTTCATTCAGGTCATCAATCAGGCAAACTATACATGTATTAAATTCCTCCTATGTGGGAAGCATTGTAGAAACACTGGGGGCAAGAAGACAAGGTCAAAACAGGCCTGATCCTCATGTAAATGGCTCAAGGAACTTCCATTTTCTTTCCCCCAGGTTTTCTTGGGGTTTTGCACCTAAATTGGCTGACTCACTATTTCTAGAATTCAGCATTCCATCTTCTGTCTCCCTGGCTTTTTGAAAGGCAGGGGTGGGGAACCTGCTGCCTTAAGGCTACATGTGGTCCCCCTTAAGGACCTAGAGGGCCGCATGTGGCCCTGAGGCCATAGTTTCCCCCACTCCTGGTCTAGGCTGATCCTCAAACAGAAGGCATTACTTCATCAATTCTGCCTTTTCTGTCACACTACTTTGAATTTAAGTGATTTGTATTGATTCATTATATATTTTCCCTTTGATTTTATTTTCTATATACTTATATATGCCCCTTTCCCCCCCCCACTTGAACATAATTTTCTTGTGAATAATGAGATAGGTGGCAGAGCAGATAAAGTGCCACACATATATTCAGGGAGATCTGAATTCAAATTCCACCTTTGACACTAAATGAATGACCCTGGGCAAATCATTCACCCTCCGGCTCAGTCTCCTCCTCTATGAAATGGGGATAAACATATCAGGGTTGTGATGGGTATCACACAGGTCTTTAAACACTTTGAAAAATTTTAATTGGCATACAGATGCAAGCTCTCATCAGCAATTGTGTCTTTTTATTGTTTGTGTGTGTGTGCATTTGTATCACCAATGAACAGTTGTTGATTGACCAATTTCTTGAGTAGAATCCCTAGCTTCCTTCAAGGATTAGCTGGTATGCCACCTCCTATGGAAAGTCTTCCCTGCTTTCTGAGTTGTTTGTAATGTCCTCCTGCTAAAAGTATAGTAGATTTAGTTGCCTGATTATGTATAACATCCCTCCCCTAAAAAGGTAAGCACTCTTAGGTCAGGGACATTTTGTCGGCATGACTTTATCTTTGGCCTTATCCATATCATCATTCAATAAATACTTACTGAATTGCTGGACTGATATTACATCTTTTATGATTTTTACTTTCAGGACTTCTGCCTTGTAAGGCCACCTACCTGGCTGAAAGAAGAACATTTTCCAGGTTGGATCTAGTTAAAAGAACCACTGCTTTTGCTGGGAGGTGATTCTCAAAAAAAAAAAATATTTTTGACCTTTCACAAATTGGCTTGCAAACAGATAAGAGGCCTCAAATCCTGTGCAGACATGCAGACATAGGGCTTTGGAACACACAGGAATCTTCAAAAGGAGTCCTTGGTAACCAGGCCAGGCCGTAGCTGCCGACATTGACCATAGGAAAGAACAAAAGCAAAAGCATTTAGATTATAACTTCCCCAGGATCACCATCTTCTCTGACTAGGTCTTGGATTTTGGTCATGATGGGCCCCGTGCCCAGAAGTGGCCAGCCATGCTCAGAGGTCTTTAAATCACACTAGAAAAGATAGCCAAGCATGAAAAAATGCAGGGAATATTTAAGTCACAGATTTATGCAATTTAAATTCATTTTACACTAGGCTATATCTGTTCTCTCACATTAGCTGTTCAATCGACATTTAATCCGCTTACAAGCCTAATCTTCATATAGTACATCTGCAAGTTTGCGATTGCCAAGTTATACCTCTCCTTTAAAATATGTTGGAACTCTTGTAAACATGCAGATGGTCAATGGGAAAAAATCGAGGTTTCTGTGGCCTCGCCCAAACGAGTTGGAATTAGCAAGCACAGCCATCCAATGATCTTTGGATGTTTAAATGGAAGAAATGTTTAAAGGGCAAAACACAGAAAGAATTCATGACAGAAATCCTAATTCCTGGAGACTTTAATGAATAATTACCTCTAACTAGGCATGGAAATCCACTCCCTTGTTATGCTGCTCATTTGAGGAGGAACAGAGAATGGAAAATTGTAAGAGGCATCCATTATTTCTCAGGAAAGAAAAAAAAAAGCTTTCAAAATGGCTCTCAGCGTCAAATTTGTAAGCCTTTAATTACTGTTCTTCATTGTGGACATGTTGAAACTTGGTAGAAGCCTGATGAACATTGGATCTTAGAGGAGGTGACACCAGTTTATGAGTTCGTGAAACGTGAGCCTTTGAACTTGCTTTTTTAAAATTTTATTTTAACAATCGAAAGCCTGCCTCTCCTCAGCAAACACAGTCTAATGCTGCACTGTGGCTCATGTCCCTTGTGAACAAGTTTGTGTTCTCATTGTGTTAGGTATGGAATAGACACAGACAAATAGCCACAGTGGAAAATCTCAGCTGTCACCATGGCGCTTCCTCAGTTTTAGAAATCAGAATATTTATTATCACTTCAAGAAACTCATCCTGTTCACTCATGTAAAACATTAACAGGCCCATTTTCTCTATCAGGTTTACACAGTAATAATTAAATATGATGTTTCTCTTGGAAACAATATTTTTCAACACTCCTCCCAGTCAGCATTTGAGATGTGTTCTACGATTTATTTGCAAGGCAAAAGAGGGCTGCCTCATTGTATGACTCTACTGCCTGCTTTACATTATGCAATTTACAAGCCCTCCACTCTTCCGCTTGCCCGGGACAAGGCTCTCCATCTCTGTCATGCCCCTTTATTCCATCTCCGCATCGCTCTGGCCTCATTTTCGATTGGAGGAATGGAATAGGAAGGCCTTATTGACATTGGTCCAGAAGGGGCTGCCTGAACAGCCAGGGAAGGAAGGCAGCAGCTCTCTTTTGTGGGGGTCTCCAGCCACCCTTCAGCTCGCCATCAGCTGCTTGTCCTTCTTCACATTAGGAGGATGAAGCTATTAAAGGAATTCTCTGTCATTTTACCTGATGTTCAGCATCCGCTCCACACTCCTGAACAGATTAGCCAAGCAGCTGTAGGCTTCGCTCACCTCCCTGGTCCAAAAACAGAACAATAAAATCAAATAGAATAAAAGCTTCACCTGGAGGCTTTCTGAGCTAGCTTCACTAGGAAGCATGTGAGCTTCAGCCTCTAGACTCTGAGTGCCATGATGCTCAGGACCTGGCTATCACTAGATGGGACACGCCTTTGTGAGGTTGTGACTTCAGACCAGGCACCGGGCCAGGCGCCAGTGATAGAAAGACAAAACGCACAACACCCTTGCCCTCCAGAAGTTTGCTTTGTTTTCTTTGGGTGGGCACTTGTGTTCCTTTGCCATGATGGCAGCCTGTACCAGTGGAGGTAAGAAGAGCATTGCTGAAAAGCAAGGATAGGAGACAGACCTGGGATTTTGTTAGTACTAAGAACCCCAGGGTCTACAAGGAACAGAGAAGAGGGTGGCCTGGGCGCTGAGAGGTAAGTGACTTGTTTAGGGTCACACAAGCCACTGTTTCTGGGGGCTTCCTAGGTTTGAGGCTAGCATTCTGTCTACTACCCATGAGTTCTTAACCTAGGGTCTGTGGACTTGGTTATTATTATGTTTAAAATACTGATAATTATTTTAGAACCATTGGTTTGCTTTGTGATCATGTGCTTTATTGCAGGCATTTCACAACATGATTCTGTAAAAGGTCCATTGCTAGACTTTACCAGATTCTCTAAGAAGTCCACCTGTGGGCTTCAGCAGCCTTTCAGAGACATTGATCCTGTGACTTCAGCAGGCCACCCAAAGAGGCCAGGAAACAGAAAAAAGTTCCTCTCACGTGACTTTGCAAATAAAACTTATTTCTTGGGCTATCAGAGGAGAATACAGACGGGTAGGGGTGCTATCAAATGGCAGGGTAGGAAAGCTGGGGAGCGGGGGTGCAGCTGTCACTTGAATTGCAACTAGAGAAGAATCAAGTATTCCAGAGCGCCCGGCTGAGCTCAAGACTGAGCCCTGAGGCTGAAAGGACATTTTATTTTTTCTTTTGGTGCCTTGTGTCCCCACCCTGGTGTTTGTTCCAGGGAAATCTCTAAAAGCATATTACATTTAGTGCATGTTTGGGTTTCCAGAAGTGTGTGTCAAACATTCCAGGTAGCAGAGCATCGCAGGGAGACAGCCTTTCTTTGTCTCCACATGAAATTCAGAAGAAGCAAAGGACTCACAAGATTCCTCTTCACCATCACCCACCCCCAAAAAGTCCAATCTAGTTTTCAATTGCACGAAAAATTTAAACAGCTCTAAGCTCCCCTTGGAAGGAAATGGGATTTTCAGTTGCCATCAGGGTAACTCGAATGTTCTGGGGAATCCCTTTTTATCATTCAGTCCACAAATTTTCACTTTGTTGTTGTTGGTGGTGGTGTTGTTGTTTTGGTTTGTTTTGTTCTGTCGTGGTTTCTTTTTTGGTTTGATTTTTTTTAGCACTAAGTTCTAGTAAATGCAGAGAGTACAAAGAAAGGCAAAAGTACTCTTTCAGGAGCTCCCAACCTATTGGGAGCTCATCTGGAGATGACATGAAAACATCTCTGTGCACTTAAGATGTGTGCACAGCATAGATGTTCCCTTCCCCTAAAACAGGCCAAGACAGGCCTCTGACCGAAGGTGGGGAGCTTGAGGGCTTGAGCAGAGTCTAGAAGGAACAAATCTAGGGAAGAGAGGAGGTAGCCAGTCTACTCAAGACTCACAGTGCCTCCTCCCCCCTTGTGTGCTTTGGGCACACTCAGCAAAAGGAGACGTGCCGTGCTGGGAACGCAGAACAAGTAACCTCCTGCCTCTCAGACCTACAGTCAACTGATCCTCAAGCACTTATGAAGTGCCTACCACATACTGGAAGGTGTCCTGGGCATCACAGATGGCAAAGAAAAAAAAATATCATGACAGCATCTGCCTTCAAAGAGCTTAGATTTTATCAAGAGAGTGCACATGTACACGTTTAAGCATATAGAATGTGTATCACATACCAAGTAAATGCACAGTAATTTGGGAGTGTGAGAGGTACCATGGTAGGTAGAGGCTTGGAGCTTGTTGAATGGATGATACATTCTTAGAAAAGCCATTTCCAGTTAAGATCACAGTCCTGAGCATCATCAGATGGAGAGAGAGAAGGGAGCTTTCGAGATCCAGTCCCATGTGGATGAAAACCTGTGGCCTCCAGGGGTCAAGTGTTTGACTGTGCAAGGTGTTTCTGACCTGTCAGTGCTCACCCCAAAATGTTCACCGTCAGCTCTCTTCAGCTGCAACCAGCTATTTGGAGCACACCACTGCTGATCTGTGACTACTGACTGATTAGTAGGCTCTATTGTGCTGGTGCCCATGATGTTTGAAAAGGAAATTTGGAGGGAGAGAAGAATTCATCTTGTCATCATTGTACTTTTAGGACTTTTAAAAGTTTTATCAAGCACCGGGTGTTTTAGTTGGAGCTGATTGCTGCAAGGGATTCATCAACCTAATGTACTTAAGGAAACATAGAGGAATAATTAGGAAACTTAGAGAAATGATTAGGAAATGCTACCGTTTCATTGTCATTAATCAATTTTGGTAATTAACACATCACTAACATTTAAATGGGGCCACACGTGTAATCTGAAACTAGAGTACACTTCTGACTTAATAAGTGACAAATAGCACACTGAGCCAAGGACCTAGAAAAAAAAAAGAATAAAAATAGAATACTGGAGGAGTGAAATATATGACTCATTTTTTTCTTGTTAAAAAAACCCAATTTTTTTCTCCCTACAAAATTTCATTCATTATCAAGATTAATTTTAAACATTGATTTATAACTCCTCTAGATTTCAAAAGTATAAAATTATTGAGGAATATTTTAGTATGTCATAAATCTCAACTCAACAATGCTTTAAGATGCCCCCCCTCAAAGTCATAACAAGATTACAAGATTTACAATGACCTCTCAGATTGTGGATTCTTCTTATGATTTTTAAAAAATGTCTTTCAGGGGCAGCTAGGTAGTTCCGTGGAAAGAGCACTGGCCCTGAAGTCAGGAGTACCTGAGTTCAAATCCAGCCTCAGACCAAACATTTGACGCTTACTAGCTATGTGACCCTGGGCAAGTCACTTAACCTCAATTGCCTAAAAAAAAAGAAATGTCTTTCAAGGTTTACTATATGTATAGGAAGATGGGACAGCTCCCAATCATATTTGTTGACTCAATTAAAACATTTTCGTGGGATAAAAGATTGAGACCAGAGAGAAAAAAAAAAAAAGGATTGCCAGAATATTATCTTTAGGGAATCTGACACCTGGGACAAATTATACTGCTGGGTAAGGAAAGGGCAGAGCATCTGCTGCCTGGGACCTAAACTCTTGGGACAAATCCCTGGCTGCCCCATGTGATGGGAAATGCCGACTGGGAAAATCAAAGAAATCTGGAGATAGAAGTAGAAGAGGGAGCTTTGTGGAGAAGGAAAACCCCCAGAACTGGAATAGGGAGCTTAGGATTTGAAATTAAAATATGAGAAAGGATTTGGGGAAACGAGGAAAATCTAATCTCCAAAGTCAAGTACCCAGTGTATTTGCCAACGAGCCCCTCTGTTCCAGTATCCTTTATTTTCCTCTTTGCAGGTTCTTATTGCATTCATCACTGTCACTGTTGCAAACCCCTGCCGTTTTCCTTAAGCCTTCAGGCTCCTTCCTACTTACCCCTCTACTCTGAGTCCTGGCTGACAAGACCTAACCTAGAAATGCTGGTGCTAGAGTGAATAGAGGACGCGGCTTGGAGGCAGGAAAACCTGAAGCCGAATTCTTGTTCAGACAATGACTCCATGTCAACTAACCTCTCTGGGCCTCAGTTTCTTCATCTAGGAAATGAAGGGTTAGACTCAAAGCCTTCTAAAGTCTCTCTGCCACCTCTAATCTCTGACCACATGATCCCTTCTCCCCATGAGATCCTTCCTTCCACATTCAGTAGGGGGGTCCTGAGCCTCCTCTTGACTGGCCCCTTCTCATTGAATGTGGTCTAGCCTCCTCAGTCCTAGAGATCTCTGTCCTTAATTCTGTCTCCCTAGCTCACGACCAATTTGTCTTCTCCCTTCTGCTAAATAGCAGCACTGTGTCTCAAAGAGCAGGAACTTACACTCAGCAGTCCTACTTTCTCATTCTTTGCTCAGTCCTCCAGCCTTGTAAGCTAGTTTCCAAGAGTCTAAGTAGCAGAACGGGCAGGGAGCTTGCTCAGGAGTCGGGAAGACCCAAGTTCAAATGGAGCCTGTGACCCTGGGCAAGTTCCAGTTATGTACCTCATTTTGCTTATCTGTAAAATGGAATAAAAATACCTACCTTCTAGTGTTGTTGGTTGTAAGTATTGAGAAGCAGTTAGCACAGGGCCTGGCACATGGTAAACACTACACAAATATCAGTTGTTGTTGTTGTTGTTGTTATCTTGAATTTGAATATTCCACAAAGTACCAGCGGCTTCCCTGAAGGTCGACTTCTTCACGGAATGATGTATTAACAATGTCAAAGTGATCTGAAGTGTGGGAGACCAATGATGTGTACATGAGAACACATCACAGTGCGGAACACTTCCAACTCCCCCTCCCCCTCCCCCTAAAACAATCGCTATGAAAAACCCTGTGACCTCAGTCTACCTCTATTTAAGTTTGTGTGTGTGTGTGTGTGATTTCCTGTTTATCTTGCCTAGCAGATCCATAGCAGAGATATTTGATATCTATGGGTTTTCCTAGCAGATTAATACACGCACACACACACACACACACACACACACACATATACACACACATACATATGTATGTATGTATGTGTATTGTCTCCTCAACTGGCTATTTGGCTTTTGGTTCGCTTTCTCTGGAGCTCTGAGAACCTTAGCTAGGTGTACGCACTCAAAGAGGTAACTAGAATTTAAGAATGGCCTCTTTCGTGCCAACGCTATAAATGGCAGCCAAGGCCTAGGATCAAACTAGATCCAATTAATCAGGAAACAACTAAAAATCTGGGACACACAAAAGAAATGGGCTGTTACTCTGATGTTAGAATTGCAACGTGAAATGAGGCAAACACAGTGAAGAAAACAATACATCCAATGGTTAAAGAGAGAGAACTTGCAATACCAACTGAAAAGCCCTCAAAACAATTCTTAAATTTTGAGAATCGAATTTATCTGCAGAGAAAAGGAATGAGAAGAAGCCCTTCCCTGTTCTTTGCAGAGGCGGGGGTTCTGGGTCCGGAACGCTCCTACCTATTTGAACGTCCTGGGAAGTTCCGCTGACCTTTTGTTCCTTCCTGTGGCTCTTCATTATAAGGAATGGCTCTCTGAGTAGGGGATGCAATTATTGAGAAGTGTTAGGCGATGCCACCAGTAAAATTTTGTTTTAATAAAAAGAACAAACTTACTTTCTCCAGCAGCTATTAGGGAAAGAGAAAGATGGGACCAGCTTGAATATTAACGTGGCCATTGGTGATGGGGGGGGAGGGATTAGGCAAAGTCCAGGACAAAGTGGGAGTCCCTCTCTCTGCTAGGCTCCATTTTCTCTGAGCTGGGAGGAGACGTGTCTTTAGCCAATGGTGGGATGACTGTTTGTCTGGGACGTAGTAGAAAGCATTCTTGTGTAGGTTTGGGTTGCTGACCCCTGAAGTCTCTTCCAAGTCCAGGAGGATTCTGTGGGATCTTTTGTCCCCCCACCCAGTGCTCCTTACAGGCCCAACCAGGGTTGTCTGAAGTTCTCAGTCTTCCGAAGTCTGGCAAACACATCAGGCTGGAGTAGGTGATGGCTCTGCGAAGCCCATCTCTTTGTAGGTGCAGTGTGTTTCCTCCCTCTATGCTGCTATCTTGCAGGGCAATGAAATCCGGCTCCGATTTTGAGGGGCAGCCAGCCAGCAGGAACAAAGCAGTGAGCAGAATGGCCTGAAAGGCAAAGCAGAAACAGCACGGGACGAGAATGAGAACAAGGCGCCACAGGCGGCTGGGATATTTCCTTGGAGCGATGGACAAAGCGCTCCCTGTCCCCAGCCTGCAGAAACCTTGGCACAGCCACATGACCAACTTCAACAATGGCATTCTGCATGGCCAGGCTGTCCCAGCGGAGGAGAGTAAAGCTCATCACTGGCAGGGGAGTGATCTTTCATTCAAATACCTCCGGTTCCCCCTCCCCCCTAGCAAAGTGTCCTTAGAGCATCTGGACAAAGACAAGGACTTACCTAGCTCCAGGCAGCACAGCAAACACTGGAGGAAAAAAAAAATACCGTCCTTTGTTTGTTTTGTTTTAGATAAAAGAGGTGAGCTGATTCAAAATCCACGCACCTTAGTTTATGGCCCATTTCTGGTCTAACTGGAAAGAATGTAGTTGCCTAAAGAAACGTCCCCTGGAGAGGCCCTTTGGGGCCATCTAATCTACTGCGCACCCCCCGTTTTGCCATGAATTGCTCAAATGTACCCCGGTAACAGCTGTCTGGGCCAGGATTCAAACTCAGGATTTCTGACTCCAAATTCATCCCTCTTCTCACTGTGCTATGCTGCCTAACTCAGCTTATAGATGATTCATTTTTAAGCTCAGGAGAGTTTAACCTTGTTGGAGGAAATCACAGTTTCAGTGTGTAGTTAATAAATATAGACACATGGATGAAAGATAAAGAATGGCCAATACTGTTAAGATAGAGATGTTTTTTCTTCATTCTATTTACTTACCCAAAGACATGTTGCTTTGCCTGGTAGGATGTAGGGTCCTTGAGAACAAGGAAGTTATGTTTCTGTCTTTATGTCTCCAGTGCCTAGAACAGTGTTACGCATATGATACTCGCTTAATAATTCGTGGTTGGGTTGAATTAAATAGTCATTGAAGTCAGCTAACAGAACAGAATCTCTAAAGCCATCTTACTTTGGCCTTCTCCAAGACTTTGGATTGTTTTTTAAGAGGTCTTGGAGAGAAGCAATGTGGTCTTGTGGAAAGAACCTTTGCATGAGAAATCAGAAGACATGGGTCTGAAAGCCTGCCTCCCACTGCTCTGCTTCTTAATTTAGGCATCTTTAAATGATCGGGCTTTGTCAGGTGATACCCAAGTTCCTCTCCCCTCTATCTCCTAGCTCTAAATTCCTTTGATACATATGAAGAATTTGTAGCAATTGCTCCCTGCAAGGAGGGAGAAAAGATTTCCCTTCGGGATGGGACACAGGATGGGTAACTAACTTTTGCCTGAATGTCAAGGAGCAATGCATTGTGTAGTCTCTCCACAGCTGATGAGATACTTCAAAAGGGGAAAGAGGTGAGCATCACTTATCCAGCGGTGGTTTTAGAAGCAGCCTGGGTAGGCAAAACAGATGCTCATCTTAAAATGAAAAGAAGTCGGGGTACAAACGTAGAGTTCAGCCCCTACTTCTAGAAGCTCTGATCAGAAGACTCAAGGTGAAACAGGGGTGTGCTGGTAAATGCTTAACAATGGGCTTCAACAAATCACAGGACAGGCTTTTCAGTTGAATAGGAATTATTACATTTTCCCCATCACTTTCTTAAGTCTAAACAATAGATCAGGTGCTGAGTTGTAGCATTTATTAATTTTGAAGGTGTAAAGAGAATGATAGCTGAAGCTGTCTGTTGAAACCCACATGTCCAAAGCCTGCCAGAAGGTATAAAAGAAGCATTTCCTAACTTCCCCTTCCTGTGTGTGTCCCCTAACACATACTCTAATATGCTCTGATCTTTTTTTTGTTTGTTTGTTTTGTTTTATTTTTTGTCTAGCTATTCCCTGAATCCTAATTTTTGTCTCAGAAATGAAGAGGTCTAGAGATTAGCTAGAGATGAAAACAAATTTACATTTGGGTAGATAAAAAACCCTTAGCCAGAATCTTAGGAATTTTCCCAAATGAGGGCTATGAGCTACCATGATTATGCTACTATCTGCTGATCATACATACCTCCATAAAGGAGCAGAGAAGAGGGACACAAGGACTTGGGGGTCATTAAATCTCCCCAGGCTTCAAAAATGAGCCAATTACAGTAACAAAATAGGATTCATGGAATCTCCAGAAACCAATGGGGCTGAGAGGAGAGGGCAAGGAGAAGTGTCAGCTGACCGACTCCAACACCCACAGCCACCATGGTTGCATGACAATCACTACCCTCCCCTACTGGGCCAAAACGTGGACATCATCTGTAGCCAGCATGATTCACTTTACATCGTCTTTGAACCCAATCCTTCTTAGGTGAAGACAAACAGCTATCTGAGGCAAAATCTCCTCATTTGTAAAATCAGGGTGATAATAATAGCACCAACCAGCTAAGGTTGCTGTGAGGATTCAAAGCTAGGACATAGAAAGGGCTTTGACCATTTTAAAACCATGGTGTGTCTGATACATAGTAGGTGTTCGACACATAGTGGGTGCTCCTCACAGAATCTTTTCCGCAGCATCACTGAGTAGTGGTCAGGCAGACTTTGCCTGAAGCTCTCCAGGGAGGGGGAAGCCAGGGCTTTTAGAGGCAGCTCACCACTGACCACAGAATTTTCTTCTCTTTTTTCATTTGCATTTTTTACCTCTAAATCAGGAGAAGAAAGGCACCTGTGGACCACACAGCCTGCCAGAGTTTCAGAGTTTCAGTGACCTTTCAGAGGCTTCCTCTGTCTCTAATACTTATTAGCACCAGGGGTGGGGAACCTCAGCCTTGAGGCCACATGTGGCCCTCTAGGTCCTTAAGTGTGGCCCATGTGGCCTCGAGGCCACAGGTCCCCAGCCCTGTATCAGCCTTATGATCATGGTCAAAGGCACTTCATGTCTTAAAGCCTCATTTTCCTCATCTCTAAAATGGGGCACAATAATATCTGTAATGCTGACCATGCAGGGCTGTTGCAAGGTTCAAACAGATGTTCTCTATAAAATGTTCTGCTACCTTTGAATTGTTATATACATGCCTGTTGTCATTATTGTTTCCTAATAAATCAGTTCTCATATTGTTGAAGAAGTCAACATTGTAGCTTATCTGAGCTGAAAGGGCCCTCAGACAGCGTTCTCCCCCATCCGCTCTTTGGACAACGAGGTGACTGAGCTCCAGACCGAAGACATGAAAACCGCCATTAGCTGGGCTTTCCCACATGAACACTTCTCTCTTGTATTGCTGAAAAATCCCACTCCAGTATTTGCCATGTTATGGAGAGGGATCTTATCTACTTATCTGGACACAGGCTTTCAAATTTCAACTACACATAGCTTTGTGACCTTGGCCAACAACCCTAATGGTAATAATATTTATGTAGCACTTGAAGATTTTCAAAGCACCTTACTAATATTGTCATATTTGATGCTGATAACCCTGGGAAGCAAAGTTAATTATATTATCATCATCATCATCATCATCACCCTCCTCGCTTTCCAGATGAGTAAACTGAGGCAGACAGTGATGAAATGACTTGCCCAAAGTTGCACAGCTAGTAAGTGTCTGAGGCAGAATTTGAACTCAAGTCTTTCTGACTCCAGAAAGAGCCCTCTACAAGACCCTCTCTGTACCTGTGGTTTTCTGGTCTAAAAGTGAGCTGTTTGTACTAAAGGTCTTGTTTCATGATGGTATGACTCAAAGCAGGGAGAAAGAAAATGGAAACTGCCCACGGGAAAGTATGCCTGCAGAGCAGGGGCAGAGCATGTGGCCCGGCAATGACACTCCTGGCAGCCAGGGGTGCTGTTCCTCGTCTTCCTTCCCTTCAACTTCCCCTTTCCCTTCAAGTTTCAGGGTATTAGCTCTGGTTCATGGTTCATGGGAAGCACGTTCAGCAATGGAAGAATTGAGTTGTAGCAAAAGGAAGGGGCTTTAATTAGAAACTGTAGTACCAGATCACTCTGCCTCCATCTGTTAAGTTAATTGGTATTCTTAAAGCCCCCAAAGAGCTTCTGTTGCCAGCTTGTTTATTATTTCAGAGCTGTCCCCTCAGCCCCCACCCTGCAAAGAAGTGTGTGCATGTGTGTGACAAAGAAATTAGACAGAGAAAATTGTTTTCATGATCTTAGGCTCAGAAGGAGTTTCTTAATCAGGAGAGAATGCATCAGCAGGGAAGGTGTATATTTAATCAAAATCTATATACACACACGTATTTTTTTCTATGTCTGTCAACGTATTTTTGACAGATGAAGGAGATGAGGGGGGTTCCCAATCAACCTGCTCTGTTCCCCAGTCCAAAAATGGAATTGCAGGGCACTGAGCTGTGTTGGAATGGCACTTTTTTTTTTTTACTGGAACTCTTCTTCTATTGGATAGGATGCTATAGCATTTGTAATTTTGAGAATGGATAGACATGAAAGACAATGACTTTCTGAATTATTCTTCGGGGTCCCTAGCCTAAGACCATTTGCCTAGTAGAATACAAATACATTTATGTTATCAGGATTAATAAAAAACCCTCACTTAGGCAGCACCTTATAATTTTCATATCACCTTCCCTGCTGCAGTCTGGACGTATAGATAAGGCAAGCATCATCATGCCACTTTCACAGGTAAGAACACAGAGGTTCAGAAAAGTCAAGTGGAGGGGGGCGAATTTACTTCTCTGCCAGTTCCAAGGTCAGGAATGCTGATGTGATCACTCCCTCTGCTAATGCCAGGTGTGACCCACTGGTATATCCGCACTTGGTCTTCATGCCTTGCCCTGGCTGAAAATTAATAGAATATAAAGTCCTTGACTGTAGGCATTTCTTTTATCTGTATCCCCAGCTACTATTACAGTGCCTGGCACAGAGTAGGCATTTAAAAAGTGTTTGTTAAATAAGTCAAGCCTCTGGTAATGAGCTTTTTAGATGAATCTAGGCTGGTTATGACTGGACTGACTGAAAGTTTCTTGCCAGCATCATACTCCTAGCCTGTTGATGTTTGTAGGACACTCCAGTGAGT